ATTAGACAATGACTAAAGTTGTACGTGTGGCTTGTTGTACACTCTTCATGTAATTACAAACTGTAGGGGAACTCTATATGGAACCTCATATATCAAACTAATAAAATTCGCTCGGCCATGTAAGCCACCTTAAAAAAAAAAAAAAATAAAAAAAAAAAAAAATAATTCAGATGCTATTATATCTGCAACTAATATTATAAATTAGTACTATTTTCATTTATTGAAAAATCCTTCACATCGAAGTAATGAATTTTGGACCAATTTTATTGAATATTTTAGTACTTATATAAGAAACAATCTTCTTCTCTTTATAAGCTCCAATACTGCAAGTACGTATAACATTAAGCATCATGAATATGTTAATAAATTACTTTAGGGTCTTAAGACATTATCAAAAAATGTTAACTGATTTCTTCAAGAATATTATGCAGATTTATATATAAAATTAAGCAAATTATCATAGAGTCTATTCGCTCCAAAGGCATTTGGAGTTTTTCCAATAATAGCTATTAACTTTAATACTATTAGTAACTATCATTAGGATGATCATGATGAACCAAATAGTCTGTGTGTATTTTAGTTATACTAGAGGATTTCGAAGAAGGAGAATTATGCTTTCCTTAGCTTCAAATAGTTGTACATCTTCAGCCAGAACAAGTTATAGTATTTGCATCTCGTTTATTGCTTTATGGTAATTTTACAGTTACAAAGAGTATTAGGCATAGTATTGTGTACTTTGTACATAATATATTCTTTCATAATTTATGAAATTTTGATTCTGTATATATTAAGGCTAGAATTGAAAAAAGTAATAGACCAATAGTTTCTGAGCAGAACCTTAATAATGCTCAAGGTTTAAACAATCATAACCAACTTTTTAAACTAAAAGAAAAACAAATACAAATCTTTTCTACTGTCTCTAATCATAGACGAAGACATATAAGTATGAATTATTTTATGATTAATAACTTATAAATATATTATTATTAATTGATACTTTCATAGATTTAGCATATGTATGAAGAGGTTTAAAGGCAGAAAATTTACTTTCAGATTTATAGATATTTTATGTGATATATATATCAATATATTTTATGTGTAAATATTTTTGTATAAAAATTTTAAAAAATTTAGTTGTATATAAATCAAGTAAAATGTTAGAAAATTTTTAAGCTTTTTTATTTTTCGAGTAATTTCTAGGCTTTCTTTAACTTTAGCTATATTGCATTACTTCAGATAAGCTAAACAAATCAACTATAGTTGTACCAAGTATATTAGGATAACAACTAGACAGAGTATCAAATTTAGCAAGGGGTTATATAAACAAAGTTAGAGAAAGATAAAGTTTATCACTATACTACTTAGTAACAAACTGGAGTTAGATAGTTTAACAAATTTATTATTTATTGATAAACAATTATTATATGTAAAGATTTTAAGTAATTATTTAATAAAGCAGAATTTGTTAAACTATCTAACTCTAGTTTGTTACTAAGTAGCATATACTTTGTCTCTTTTTAAACCTTGTTTATATGATCTCTGACTAAAATTGATATCCTGTTCAGTTATTTAACATACCTAGTACAACTATAGTTGATTTGTCTAGCTTACCTGAAGTAATGCAGTATAGCTGAAGTTAAAAAAAGTCTAGAAATTACCTGAATAATAAAAAAACTTACTTACAGAACTAACTAATTTGTCAAACCTAATATATCTCTTTCTAGTAAAGCCTACTATAGGTTATACAAATATTTGGATTATCAAGTGACTGATTTACTATTATATTTAGTTTCAATAAAAAAATTTAAATTTTTTAGAAATGTTTTGTACAATATAAATTTTTCTAAAATAGTTCATTTTGTTACTGAGAGAGGAGAGCTAAGGGAGTAATATAAACTATTGAATTAAATTAGCCTAGTCTTATCTCTAAATACTTATTTACAATTAATTACCTAATACTCTTCAAATAATATATATAAAGATAATAATTTATTTATAAATAATTATCTCTAAATATTTATTTACAATAATTATCTAATACTTTTCAAATAGCCTGTGAGTATAAAGATAATTTAGTAATTTTATTAAAATTATAAACATATAGATTTATTACTAAATACTTATTTACAATTAATTAATTATCTAATATCTTTCAAATTATTTCAGTTAGTGAGTATAAAGATGACTTATTAATATTAATAATTATTTTTATTAAAATTATGAATATAAATACATATTCATATCTACTTATCTTTAAATACTTAATTATCTAATACTCTTCAAATTGTGTACAAGTATTAAAATAGTTAATTAGTATAATTAAGAGTAGGGAGTATGTAGATCCTTTTTTATATGAAACCTATGAAAATATTTTTTTTTTTTTATAATTACAAAAATATTTACTAAATAAATTATATTTAGACTTTTAATTAAAATTGTAGATTAAGTTTTTCTAATTCTAACAGTTATAAAATTATTAAAATTAGGTTAGTATTCATCAAGATATGAATATTTAAAGTTTTAGATCTAAAATTTATAAAAAAATTTATATTGTGAGTTACGGAAATTAACCAATTAAAATTGCTTATTTTGTATAACCCCAGAGAATTTGGTATCAACTCGAAAACTTTACAATATATACAAGTATATTTTTTTAAAATATAATATCAAATAAAATTTATATATTATAAAAAGAATATATTAATCTATATACTGTAAAAATTTGATTAAAATTAAATAAAACTATAAAAAGTTTTATTAGTAGCATGTTTCAAATTTTTACTAAAATTTTAATTTATCATAATGATCATATGAAAAATGATCTACATACCCTCTACCCTTAACAGATCTTGATTATAAATCTGGCCATAGAGAATATATATTTTATAAATACTAGCTTGCATCCAATAGCCATACTAGCTCTTCTGATAGAAATGATACTACGCTTTTAGATACATATCAACTCGAAGAGATTTATTCTCAATATATAATTCAGATAGCAGAAAAAGGTTATACAGTGATCGATCATCTCTTTGAAGTTTATAGAATACCTGATATTTATGAATGTATTGATGAAAACTAGCTCCTACGCTTAATTATTGATATTGATATAAAACAAAAACCTGATCCAAATAATCCTAAATATGCTTCTTTAGATAGTAAAAAAATTAACTAAGAAGATTTGATATCTCGAATTTTAGTCACTTGTGCAGATGCATTAAGCCTTATTCCGATTGTATATCTTTCTTAAATTCTTTTGCCTTAGCTAGTTTATCAAATGCTGAGAAATGTAGCTAGTATATCATTTATTCTCAGGTCCAATTTGTAGATTATAAAGAACTTAAGGGTTTTACAGAAAAAGTTATAGAATTAGTTGGAGAACCTTATTTGAAATTTATTAATATTAGTCTTCCTAAGTCACGTTTTAGTCTTCAACTTCTTGGATTAGCAAAAGAGAGGCATATAAAAAGACCTGCTATTTCTTCCGTTAACAAGGGATTTAAAAATTTTGATGATTATCTAGTTCAGCCTAAAGAGAATTATTCTGTAATCTGGCTACGAACTTTTTCAGAAGAAAAGCTAGCAGAAGAGAAATTTAAACCTATCGATAATGATGATGCTTTGGTTAAAGGAGCTAATTTAGCTATTGCAGAATATGAGTGGCTTCAGATTGGAAGAATAGAGAAGAAATTCATTAACTTTCAAGTACAATCTGTTAAAGAATATCCTATATGTGACATTAAACATGATAAGGATCAACTCTATGAATTTATTTGAACAAATAGATATTTTGTACTTAAGTATTATCACCAAAAACAATACAAGCTAGAGCACAAGGGCATTAGCTTTTATAAGGTATTAGACAAAGTTAAGTCGAAAGAAAAGTTCAAGAAGTGGAGATTATATAAAAGATTACCCAAAGCTCTAACAACTTCGCATCAATTTCCTGAATTACCTGGAGAATATATTAATGTAAAAGAGATAGAGGATGCTTTAGATGCTTTTTCAGATTTTTTAAGTGAAGAGCCTAGTACTACTCTTATTCGTTCCACTATGGGTACTGAAAAAAACAAAACATTAAGAAAAATTTTGGCATCTTTAGCTCAAAGTAGTGCTAATTTACCTTGTACTATATGGGTTTCATATCATAAAACCCTTAGCAATAAATCTGAAGCTAAACTTAAAGAATTAGAAAAATTTGATTTCAGAATAGGGCAATATCAGAATATTGTAGTTGATTTAAAGATGCATAAGTAGGACCTTATTATTATATAGATTGAAAGTATTTTTTATCTTGGTTTTTAAGGGGGCCATTCTTGTATAGCAATTTTAGATAAATCAAATGCTACTATGTGTCAAATAGCTAGTGGAGTTTATACCCAAGAATCTGCTAATGCTATATGTGATTTGTTAAATGTAGCTACTCATGTTGTTGCTATAGATGCTTTTGCAAATGACTTAACTTTAGCTTTCTTAAAATTCTATCGAGATGAGAATGTTCGAGTTATTGACAACAAATATCAACTACGTAAAAAGGAAATTGTTAAATTTCTTTATAATTCGAATAAAGGTTCAGAAGGTATACGTAGAGGTTTTAAGATGCTTCAAGAAGGTAAGCATGTTGCATTTGTTATAACTAGCTGTAAAAAAGCCTGAGCCTTAGCTAATCAAACATCTAAGTTGTGAAACCTGATAGTTCATTTATTTTATCCTGAGTTTATTTTGGTCAAATAGATAGAAAACAACGCCAAGATGATTTTGCTAATATTGATGCTATCTGAAGTACTCTTAACTGTGTAATTTATACAAATACTGTAGAAGCTGGTATCTTCTTTGAAATATCTGGTTATTTTGATGCAGTTATAGGAATTACTAATATCACTACTTCTGTCTATGTTGATGTATTTGCTCAGATATTGTTCAGAATCTGTAACTGCTCATTATATATAGTTTCACTTTATCATAGCAAAAAATTTGATATTTTCAAAGAACTATGTCAGGAACTCATTCGAGCTGAACTTTCAGTATTAAAATCTGGAGACTTATTAACAATAATAAAAGGCCAGTATGCATAGAATAAAATTGCTGACTGTTATGTACTTAATTTATCTCCAGTAGTGGAAACCTATATCGAAGTTGAATATCAGAAATACTTATCAGTTAAATACTTTTCTAAAATTCTTTGTAGTCTTATTGCTAGTACTGAAGCAATACTTAAATTAATTTTAGTGGAAGATACTAAAAAAATTAACAGGAATAAAATTTCTTATATAATTAAAAATACTGAGGAAAAAATTAAAGATGCAAATGCAGAATCAATAGCTAATACTCCAGATATTAGTCCCAATAAAGCTGAAATTTTTAAGCAAAATTCTATATACTCTTTTGCTAATAACATAACTTTACAATGTCATTATTTATGGAGAATATATGCTTCAGATGATATTGGTGACAAAGATAACATTTGAGACTGAGGCATGAATAATGATGATTAGATTAAGCTTTGTGATATAGATTTCATAAAAAGATATAATAATCCTGAACCTTTACAGCATTTTAGGAGGCTGGCATATTTCAGAAGACAAGGTTCTAACTCAATAAATTCTATAGAAAATCTAAAAATCAATGAAGAAATGCAATGGGAAGATTCACATGAATCTATGGATCTATTCTTAGTTGATTTGCATAAATTTTATTCAGCAAAGCAGTAGGAAGCAGTATATAATCTTGTCCAATCGATAGGCTTTAAAGATATAGATGATATAAATATTCTTTCTGGTGATAATATAGCTAAGACTTTTGAGCAATCACAGAAAAAAATCATTAAAATTTGAGAAGATGTATTATTACTCTTTGGCTTTAAAACCAGAGTTAAAAGAATGCCAGATCTTAATGCTACAATAAAATTTATTAATGCAATATTGAGTAATTAGTGTAGTTATACTATCAGAAGTGGTGTAGCCCATATAGGTTCAAGAACTAATAGAATATAGAAGAAAACTTATTAGATTTATCGCAAACTATATAGTAGAGATAGTTTTGTAACTCAAAAAGAAATAATAGCTATAAAGATGAATAATTCTAAATATTTCCCTATAGGTTCAATTCTTCCATTATATAAACCAGAATTGATTGATGAAACTCAGAATCTTTTCGATTCTATACCTATTACTAATAATATTACTTCAGAATATACAAAGCATGAAGTTTCTGACTTATTTAATAATAAGATTGACGAAAAAGATTTATTCTTAGAAATGCTAGCTCAATATGATGCAGAACATAGAAAGAATTCTTTTCAAGATATATGCCATGTTGATATTATTACTTTTGAAGCCAATGCATATGAGAAAGAAATATTTGATTCTTTAATTTCTTTATCTTCAGAGTTTCTTATTAAAAGTGAATTTGATGTGGATATGCTTATCTTCTATCTACAACAAAAATTTCAAATATCTCAAGAAAAGTTAGAACAATAGAAATTTGAGATTGCTTTTGAAATACAAGATAACTAAAATTATTAGAAAAAAGAGTACGAGAATATAATTGAAGCTGACTTCTTAGAATATAAGTGAAATTTTAAAACTAAGATAGGTGTACCTACTACTCTGCACCAAAAAGAATTGAAAAATAAATCTTTAGCCCTTATTAAATATGTGTAATTATTGTACAATCTAATTAAGTAGTATAACTCTAGCAGAAGATATATTGCTACATTTAACTAACTAACTATTCACCTCAGGTAAGACCATTTTTGGCACCTCTTACAATAAATGCTAGAAAAAATCTAAATTGAAAATTAGGTAAGTAACTATGATCATTTTTGTGTTGTGTAATTTTAATTAAAATGCAGTTTATATATAGAATAAGTAAATTCAATCGATAACCATTTTTGTATTGCAAAATTTTTGATAATGGGCCAAATTCAGAATATAAGATTGTATAGATAAAATCATTGTTTAGTCAAGGTATAATTACTAATCTTATAAAGTACACTTTGGATAAACACAAAACATATATATAATTCGAAAAAAATTTGATATCTAGTTAAGGTATAATTTTATAGAAAGAATAGTTATACTTTCAATAGACACAAAATGTATATATAATTTGAAAAAAAATCAGTCTCTGGTTAAGGTATAATTCGAAGAAAATTAGTGTTTGGTCAAGATAAAATTATTAGAGAAAGGGTGGTTAGATATAACGTATACTATTTTGATTACATAATTTGAAAAAAAACAGCATCCACTCAAGGTAAAATTATCACAGATATATATTATGCAAAGCATAGGTAAAGCTCTATAAAAATTATGCTTTGAGTAGACACAAAATAAATGATAACAATTTATCGATAAGTATTGGTCACGAAAAATTTCAGGAATTTCACCTTTTTGCAATTTCATTGCTCAAAGTCACATAATTCAAAGAAAAATTAGTGTCCACCTAAGGTAAAATTATTACAGATATATATTATAAAAAATTATGCTTTGGGTGGACACAAAATAAACGATAACAATTCAGCACTATGTGCAGGTATAGCCCTCACACTGGACTTGCAAATGATAACACATGACTGAATGCATTGTTAGCAAAGAAAAATCAGTGTCTACTCAAGGTAAAATTATTATAGATATATATTATAAAAAATTATGTTTTATGTGACTGAATGTATTATTAGTATATTTTTTATAGATCATGAGATATCTCAATGTGATGATGCGAACATAAAATCATCATCATAATTTTTATAGGTTATGAGATACCCAAGTGTGATGATGCAAATGTAAACTAATTGTCACTCGAATGATGATGAACTCGTAAACTAATCATCACTTAAATGATGATACAAGCACGAATCATTTGTTACTCAAATGATGATGCAAGCGTGAATTGTTTATCACTCAAATGACGAAGCAAGTGCAAATCATTTATTACTCGAATGATAATACAAGCATGAATCATTCATCATTCAAATGATAATGCAAGCGTGAATTGTTTATCACTCTTATAAGTAGGTAAAAGTCTAATATAAGTAGGCAGCAATATATATATATTGCTGCCTGATTGCCTTTGAAAAACTTTTCGGAAATCTCTTTGATATGTGTATTTCCTTTTAAGAGCTATCTCAGAGTTTTTTCTCTTTCAAAAGCATTTTTGCTAGTTATGTTTGCTGATAAAATTTTTGTTGAGATAATCTCTTTCTCTTCATATCTATCTGCTTTTGGTGCCCAAATATTACTTTCTAATGAGTTGTTTTCTGGTCTAAGTTTTAACTCTTAGTCTAATCTATCAAACTTCTCTTCTAATATCTGGCTTTCAGACTTTATTTTTTGTAAATTTTCTAACAAATTAATATCTTCAAGATTTATTTAGCTTGTGTTTAACTCTGGTTGCAAATCTTCTTTTTTTATTTTTATTTCTATTTCAACTGTTTTTTTGCAGAGAGCTTCTTTGTAGCTACTATATGTTTTAGGTTTTGTTGCTATTTTTATTTCTTTTATTTTAACTATATCTTCAGATATTAGTATGGTGAGTTGCTCCTTTTCTTGATTTAGAATTTGTTCTACTCTATTAATTCCATCAGTGATAGCTGCTCTTTCGATTATCTTTTGTCATTTTCTTGCTATAGTCACAATATTTTTATATATATGCATTATGTTTGCAACCATTTTATCTAGATGAGTTGCTAAGCCTTTTACAGAATTACTTCTATCAAATATCATCTCTTCACTATATAGTTTGGCTATTCTATTTATTAGATATGTAGATTTTTCAAAGTTCCATATTATATCTAATCTAGATTTATCACAATTTTGTAATCTTTCTAATTTGCTTAGTAAAAAATTCGAAAATGCTATATGTTTATATTGTAGCCTCTCAGAAGTTATCTAGTTTTGGTTTAGTATATACTTTTACATGATCTGTAGTATTTGTTTTGATTTTCTAATCTTCACATGAATTATGTTACGTGACTTAGAATTCTTATATTTATTTAAACAATCATCTTGTGTAATAAATGATTTAGGATTTTCAGAGATTTGGCAATTCCTCAGAAAAGGTTTTTACAGCTGAGATTTCTTTGGACATGAGTCTTTTCTTTGACTAAATAGTTTTTTAGTATACTAAAGCTCTTCTTGTTTCTTTAAGTCTTTGTATTTTTCTGTTAGGATTCTTTTTTCTTAATAGCTTTGAGTACTTTTCTTAAGCAATTTTAAGAGTTTTTTGTGTTTTTTCTTTACCTTTGATTTTGGTTTAAATGATCTATAGAGAGAGTTGTAACTCTTTTTGAATATGATTTATTTTTACAACTTTTATTATAGATATAAATTATTTTTATATAATAAAATACTTAATCATTTACTAATTTTTAATCAAAAAATCTCATATTTAATTGTTACTATATAATAAAAGTAATAAGTTATGTATTGTTATATTTGTAGTAATTTTTTTAATTTATAAGAATTACTACTAATATTGTAATATATAATTTATTTTCTTTATTGGTACTATAATAAATAATATGAGTATTACAAATTTTCTTTTAAAAAATATTTTTTTTTTTATTTTTTTTTATTTTTTACTTTATACAAATGCCATTAGCCAAAACTTTATTAGTTATTTGATAGTAGGTAATGATACATATTGTGAGAGTACAACTAGTCATATATACAACTTTAGATTGTCTATTTAAGTAGTCCGCTCAAAGGTTCTACACTAGTTGTGATATTTGAAATCTATTTGAAGATTCCCTATTTAAACTCTCTGGCCCTATGACTTATCTGTTTTTATTTATTTTATACTAAGTCAACTTAACTCTATGCTACTTCTCTACAAAGACACTCAGCTAACATATATTCACAAACTTTATGATTTGAAGTCTAGGCCTATCTCAGGTACCCCTTCACCAACTTCCTAATCAATGAGTACTGTAGTACTCAACTATGCTATGCTATATCCTAATCTAGCTTACATATACTCTTGTTTGATGTTCATACAAACCTGGTTCCTACTATGACTTTCTAATAGATTAGTCCTCTATATTTTCAGATATTTCATGAGACAGATCCTCCTAATCCAGTTAGTCACTAAGCTAAGTTAGTATTACTATATAACCTTATATGTTAGACTTACTCGCATCCACTCAGTCGTATCCTTCAGCCACAGATTTCTTTTACTGAATCAGATATAAACCAGTATGACCAGTAAAATTTGTATTACTTCACCTAACTCAGAATTTTTACTATGCAAGTTCTCTACCTATAGATTCTATCAAGATTTATTCATATAATGTTATGCCTTGCCAAATGCCTTGTCATATTTCCAATATCCCAATTAGCATTAGTACAATATGATTTACAGGGTTACAACTCCAGAAACGAGTAAAGTTTTACAGTAAGTTGAATACAGATATCTAGATAATTATTCAATTTTGTATATAGTAGAATTTGAACTCTAGACCTCTTGCATAGCAGTCTAGTAATCTAACCACTACACTAAGATCACCAGACCTTAAAAAATATTTAAAATTTTTCTAATTTAAAAAAAAAATAATTTAATAATTACTCATTAAAATTTGATAATATTTTTTTTTATTTTGAATTTATAAAATTTGTAAAATAAAAAAAAAATTATAAATTTGATTAAGTAGTTTATAAGTTATTTATTTAAAGTTTTAAAAAATTTAAAATATTTCTATAAATATAAAAAAACTTAAATAAAATTTTAAATAGCAAATATTTATTATAAATAAATTTATAATATTAAATTTTTAAGGTCTAGTAATCTAGTATAGTAGTTAGATCATCAGACTACTATATAATAGGTCTAAGAATCAAATTCTACTATTAATAAATTTGAATAATATCTAGATCTATAGATCTAACTTACAGAAAATTCTGCTCATCTCTGAAAGAGAATTCTAAGGATATATTAAACCTTGTAATAAATAGTATTATATCAAATTAATTAGATATTAGAAATGTAATAGTAATATTACAGAAATAAATTTGCATTAGATATATAAGCAGGAGACTTGTATAGTAAAAACTCTAAATTAATAAAATAGTATAGCTTTTGACAATTATATTAGCTAATACTTGATCTAAAAAGAGACTTTTTCAAAAGATATAGATTAGAATAGATACAAGTAAGTTTATTTTGTAAGAAAGATCAGCAATACTAACTTGGCTTAGTGATTAACTAGATTTAGAAAGATCTACTTTATGAAATATCTAGAAAAATCTAATAATATATATCAGTAGAGAGCTATAATAGAAACTGAGATCATATGAATATTATAAAGATCTAAGCTATATGAATCTGTAAAATAAGTACAAATTACTCTAATAAGTATACTTCAAAGTTAACTTGCTTTACAATACTTATAATATTTTAAGTATAATATAACTCGAGAAGACTTAAGCTATAGTTAGTAAATAAATCTGTAATAAGCTAACTGGTTTAAGCAATTAGATATTAT